TCATAGTATATTAAGTCATAAAAACTTCAAAAAACGTCATAGTATAGTATGGCATAAAACGTCAAAAAACGTCATAGTACAGTATGGCATAAAATGTAAAAAAAAAAAAAGTCATAGTATAGTATGGCATAAAAATGTCAAAAAACGTCATAGTATAGTGTAGCAAAAAATGTCAAAAAACGTCATAGTATCGTATGGCATAAAAAGTCAAAAAAAGTCATAGTATAGTATGGCATAAAATGTAAAAAAAACATCATAGTATAGTATGGCATAAAACGTCAAAACCATCATAGTGTAGTATGGCATAAAACATAAAAAAAAAACGTCATAGTATATTAAGTCATAAAAACGTCAAAAAACGTCATAGTATAGTATGGCATAAAATGTAAAAAAAAAACGTCATAGTATAGTATGGTCTAAAAATATCAGAAAACATCATAGTATAGTATGGCATAAAACGTTAAAAAAAACCCGTCATAATATAGTATGGCATGAAATGTAAAAAAAAACTCACAGTATATTAAGTCATAAAAATGTCAAAAAACGTCATAGTATAGTATGGCATAAAACGTCAAAAAATGTCATAGTATATTAAGTCATGAAAATGTCAAAAAACATCATAGTATAGTATGGCATAAAATGTAAAAAAAAAACGTCATAGTATAGTACGGTATAAAAATATCAGAAAACATCATAGTATAGTATGGCATAAAACGTTAAAAAAAACCCGTCATAATATAGTATGGCATGAAATGTAAAAAAAAACTCACAGTATATTAAGTCATAAAAATGTCAAAAAACGTCATAGTATAGTATGGCATAAAACGTCAAAAAATGTCATAGTATATTAAGTCATGAAAATGTCAAAAAACATCATAGTATAGTATGGCATAAAATGTAAAAAAAAAAACATCATAGTATAGTATGGCATAAAACGTCAAAAAAAGTCACAACACAATAAGGCATTGAAATGTCAAAAACATCAGAGGGGAATCGAGTAGCTCAGTTGGTTAAGCATCTGCCCCATGTGCATAGGCTAAGGTCCCCACTGCAGTTGGCCCCGGTTCAAGTCCCGCATCGGACGGCCCTTTGCAGCATATCATTCACCCTCTCTCTGCCTTCCCATTTCAAGTCTCTTTCTACTGCACTCTCAATAAAGGCATAAAAGGTCCAAAAAAATAATTAAAAACGTCATAGTATGGCATGAAACTTTTAAAAAACGTCATAGTATAGTATGGCATAAAACGTCAAAAAACATCGTAGTATAGTATGGCATAAAATATCAAAAAACGTAATAGTATAGTATGGCATAAAAAATCAAAAAATGTCACAGTATATTAAGTCATAAAAATGTCAAAAAACGTCATAGTATAGTATGGCATAAAACGTAAAAAAAAATGTCATAGTATAGTATGGCATAAAAATGTCAAAAAACGTCATAGTATAGTATAGCATAAAAGCGTCAAAAAATGTCATAGTATATTAAGTCATTAAAATGTCAAAAAACGTAATCGTATAGTATGGCATAAAATGTAAAAAAAAACGTCATAGTATAGTATGGCATAAAACGTCAAAAAATGTCACAGTATAGTATGGCAAAAAATGTCAAAAAACGTCATCGTATAGTATAGCATAAAATGTCAAAAAAACATCATAGTATAGTATGGCATAAAACGTCAAAAAACATCATAGTATAGTATGGCATAAAACGTCAAAAACCGTCATAATATAGTATGGCATAAAAAGTCAAAAAACTTCATAGTATAGTATGGCAAAAAATGTCATAGTATAGTATGGCATAAAACATAAAAAAAAACTGTCATAGTATAGTATGGCATAAAACATCAAAAAACGTCATAGTATAGTATGGCATAAAACGTCAAAAAACATCGTAGTATAGTATGGCATAAAATGTCAAAAAAACGTAATAGTATATTATGGCATAAAACGTCAAAAAATGTCACAGTATAGTATGGTAAAAAATGTCAAAAAATGTCATCATATAGTATAGCATAAAATGTCAAAAAAACATCATAGTATAGTATGGCATAAAACGTCAAAAAACGTCATAGTATAGTATGGCATAAAACGTCAAAAAACATCATAGTATAGTATGGCATAAAATGTCAAAAAATGTCACAGTATATTAAGTTATAAAAATGTCAAAAAATGTCATAGTATAGTATGGCATAAAACGTAAAAAAAAAACGTCATAGTGTAGTATGGCTAAAACGTAAAAAAAAACGTCATAGTATAGTATGGCAAAAAACGTCAAAAAACGTCATAGTATAGTATGGCATAAAATGTCAAATAAAGTCATAGTACAATACGGCATAAAATGTCAAAAAACGTCCTAGTATAGTATGGCATAAAACATCAAATAATGTAATTGAACAGTAAGGCTTAAAACATCATAGTATAGTATGGCATAAAACGTCAAATAAAGTCATAGTACGGCAAGGCATACAAACATCAAAAAACATCATAGTATAGTATGGCATAAAATGTCGAAAAACGTCATAGTACAATAACACATAAAAATGTCAAAAAACGTCATAGTATAGTATGGCAAAAAATGTCAAAAAACGTCATAGTACAGTATGGCATAAAATGTCAAAAAAACATCATAGTATACTAAGGCATAAAACGTCAAACAATGTAATTGAACAGTAAGGCATAAAACATCATAGTATAGTATGGCATAAAATGTCAAAAAACGTAATAGTATAGTATGGCATAAAACATCAAATAATGTAATTGAACAGTAAGGCTTAAAACATCATAGTATAGTATGGCATAAAACGTCAAATAAAGTCATAGTACGGTAAGGCATAAAACTTCAAAAAACATCATATTACAATAAGGCAAAAAAATCTCAAAAAACGTCATAGTATAGTATGGCATAAAATGTCAAAAAACATCATGGTATAGTATGGCATAAAAACGTCAAATAATGTCATATTACGGTAAGGCATGAAAACATCAGAAAATGCCATAGTATAGTATGGCGTAAAATGTCAAAGAACGTCATAGTACAAGAAGGCATAAAAACGTCAAAAAACATCATGGTATAGTATGGCATAAAAACGTCAAATAATGTCATATTACGGTAAGGCATGAAAACATCAGAAAATGCCATAGTATAGTATGGCGTAAAATGTCAAAGAACGTCATAGTACAAGAAGGCATAAAAACGTCAAAAAACATCATAGTGTAGTAAGGCATAAAAAGTCATAATATAATAAGGCATAAAAAGTCATAATATAATAAGGCATAAAAAGTCATAATATAATAAGGCATAAAAAGTCATAATATAATAAGGCATAAAAAGTCATAAAAAGCAATTGTATAGTAAGGCATAAAAAGGCATAAAAAGTCATAAAAAGCAATTGTATAGTAAGGCATAAAAAGTCATAAAAAGTCATAATATAATAAGGCATAAAAACATCAAAAAACATCATAGTACAGTAGGGCATAAAAATGTCATGGTATAGAAAGGCATGAAAATACCGAAAAACCTCATAGTATAGTAAGGCATAAAATGTCATAAAGCATCATAGTATAATTAGGCAAAAAAACATCAAAAAAACATTGAAGTATAGTAAGGCATAAAGAAGTTATAAAAAACGTCATAGTATAGCAAGGCTAAAAAACATCGAAAAACGTCATATTAAGGCATAAAATGTCATAGTATGGTAAGGTATGAAATATCATAAAAACCCTCATAAAACATTATTGTATAGTAAGCCATTAAAACGTCATTGTGTAGTAAAGCATAAAAAACTCATAGTATAGTAAAGCGTAAAAACATCATAGTATAGTTCATTCAAATATTGGTAGGGATGATTCTGTCTTCCCAAAATATTGGTAGGGACAAGTCCCTATCATCCATATGCAAACTTACGCTCTTGTTGAAGATAATCTTGCTTTCTCTGATCTCATCACCTTAGTGTTAATAGATGTTTTACAGGGGAGTGCTTTCAAGGGAGAGATCACAGCACGGGTTTCTATTATTATGACATCTCTTGGGGTGGCATGCTTTTCTAGTGCCAGCTTCACTTAGCAGGGCAGAGAAGCTGGCAGGAGGTCTCAGATAGATGCTGTGGAGGTTTAGCGAAAGCAAGTGCGCAGTTTGAAAATGCTACAGAGCTGAGTGAACAAGAGGTGTACTACGACTGACTAATTGTGTTTCAAATTGGGTCTTTTAGTGCACAGTGGGGAATGGGATTGCTCTGAGCTCCCCACTGAAGCACCCAAGGATGAGAAAGTTGTCAGATTTGTAGGTCAGGCTGCAGGGGTTGTTGTTAGGCAGACTTAGTCACAGCTCCAGATGTCACATTGGTTTGATTCCTGGCTATATTTGATGGTTGGTGTGTGTTTTAGCGTCCCCAGTTCCCTTTTTCAACTTTCATATCATCATGCAACTGCTTCTTTTGCAGATAATGTATTTTAATATTATCCCCTGTGTCCAAGTTTTCTTCTTCTTTGTCTACATTTAGTTCCTTTTCTTTCCTCTGACTTTCCTAGTGCTTTTCATTTTCCTGACATGTTGTGTTAAAATCTTAATTGATTTCACAGTGTTGGAGAGACTTGCAGGCGTCCCATCTGGAGCTTATCAGAGCCTGACCCGGTTTCGGTGTGCTACGTTAACGTGTAGTTCCACTGGGATATGTCCCCTCCTCGTGCTGACAAAGGGAAGAGGGCCACAGCCGGCCTGTCCTAGCCCAGCCTGACACAACTGGAGCCCAACATCACTTAATCTTGCCTCATGATGTCTGCTCCAAAGAACTAAAAGTTGCTTACATTACAATTTCTCCCTCCTCCCTCATTGTAGGTCACTTGGTCTTCCTTCTTCCATTTTGGAAAGGGCTTCCGGGGATATTTTGCCCTACAAAAAAATAATTATCTTATCTCCCTAATTCCCAATTATTATGCACAGGCTTATTTAAGAAAAAGGATTAGATTTTCTCTCTTTCTGTTTTTTTTGTTGGCTGCACCAGCGAGCAGGGGATGAATTTGAACGTGACACTCCTCTCCTCTGCTGCAGCGAAGGGGTCCTACACATGGATGAACTGGGGGAGGAGAGAGCACAGTGAGGCTGTCATGTAAGCTGTCTCCTCTGGGGCCACCTCTCGGTGCGCACTGCTTCCTGCCTTAGCTAGAAGCCTCAGTGTTACTGCTGCTGAGGCGTCAGACTGCTCGCTCTCTTCTCCTCTCCCTCCCATTGAGAAGGCAACAGCTCCACTCTCAAAGCACTGAAATGGAGAAGGTAAGGTGTTTGTTTCACCGTTGTCTCCTATTGGGATTTTTCGTCTTTTCTGACAGAGCTAGAGATTTAATTCATCAGGAGTTTGTTTCTTTTTGTGCAGCAGTTTCTGAGTTTACACTGTTGAACCTGTGATTGACCTTAAGGGAAATTTGAGGCCTATCTGTGTAGAGCTGTTATACTTTCTATGTTTGTGTAGTTCTCTTCCCACCCTAAAAGATGTGTTAGATATTAGGAATACCCCTGCCATTGCCTTTGCACGAGGCATGGGGGTTTTAAAACTGGATTTGGTCCCGAGGCACTGTTCACTGTTCCTAAATTTGTAGGAGGGTCACCTGCAGAGGATGAATGTCCCCACAGGGAATAATAAAGTATTACTCAGGTGAAAATAGCTGTACTGTGCATCATCTTACTAGATTTCAGTTGACAGCTTTTGTGCTCTGAAACAAAAAGAAAAAGTAAACAACACAAGGGAGTGAAATTAGTTTTATTGTGCTTTTGTAATAATAAAATTGTAAAAGTCCTTATTTTAACAGTTTTTATGTCTTTCCTTTTTAATGTTTACATACATACATACATACATACATACATACATACATACATACATTACAATGTCTAATGCTTAGGGTTGGAAAATTAAATCATTTACGTAAAGAAATGATGGTTTAGCAAAGGTTTAGTTTTATCTTCATGAGGAGCTCACTTGTTTGCAAGCATGAAAACAAATAACAAGTCTTGGAAGTGTGATGTAGCACAAAGTAAAACAGTAACGCAAATATTTCAAACTGCCACCTCATATTTTTATCACATAGCCCTGTGTGTGTGTGTGTGTGTGTGTGTGTGTGTGTAACGTGTGTGTGTGTAACGTGTGTGTGCGTGCACTGTACATTTTAAACAGCAGAGGTTTTTCTTTGTGTCTCTGTCAGAGCTGCTCAGAGTGCTCAGAGCCAACACTTGCCCAGAGTCTGTGCACACTCTGCAACAAGTGGTTGTGTTACCAGTGCACAGATGTGCATCAGCATCAGAGAGCTCCTGCTACATCCCAGTACACAGACATGCACCAACAGCAGAGGCCCAGTGCCACCCAGTGTCCTGACCTGCACCAGAGAGGCTCCAGTTCCCTGCCACCAACTGGACAAGGCAAGTTATTTATGCATTTCAAGATTTTGTTGTAGCCACTTCCAAGGCCAGTATGACAGATTATTAGTGGTACTACACACTCTCTTTCTCTTTCTCTCTCTCTCTCTCTCTCTCTCTCTCTCTCTCTCTCTCTCTCTCTGTGTCTCTGTCGTCTGAAAACCTGTTTGGGTTTTGTTTTCATTTCTGGGCTCTGTTTGTTAATCATGTCTCAGTAGGAACCATTGCAATGAATAATGCATGACAGTTGCGATGGTTGATAATAGTTTCTGGAGATCCCTGTGTTTTATTACATTCTTCTTTAAAACATGTCCCAGATTCTCAAGTGCTCACACAATTTCATTTTTGCTAATATTAGTGTGTTGCTATTTAAAGACCCTCAAGTATGCCTGGCAGGTTCGTTACCATCTGCTTTTGCAGGTCTGCTTTGCACAAGTTGTCAGATCATAACGAACAGATTCTAGACACCTTTATTATGATGTGGGAGTGTTACTGTTTTGCTTGTTTACTTGTGAGAAAAGCTGTGTGACTGCGCTGACAGACAGGATGTGGTCAGTCAGATCAGGTTGATGCACAGAGGGTGATGCTCAGCTCTCTACCACAGAGATGTGTGATGATGTGCAGGCAGGAGGGGGTTGGCTGAGGTGAGCTGGCCAGCAGAGAGCAGTAGGGCTGCGTTCATTAGCCTTATTCAGCTATAGTTAGACGTTCTGCGGGCCAACAGTTTTTACAGTGACCTATTTAGAAATGCATGAGAGATATTTATGAGTGTGTGTGTGTGCGTGGTTGTTAATGCATTAAAGGCCTATTCCACTGCACTGAAATGTCGTTCACTTACATCTTTGGCACCCAGCACTGTTTAACACAGTCCCATTGCAACCTCACCTGAGGTTTCCCGCAGTTGTACTGTTTTTGTTTTGTTTTTTTTTAATCAAAGTAAGCAGGACCACTTGTACTAGGAAAGTTTATATGAATATGAAGGGGTAATATATGTGTTTACCGATTAGTCTTTTGTTTTTCAGTCGTTGTGGTCATTTTCAAAAAGGACTCCCTGTTGAAAAAAAAAAATGTCTCATCATCTTCAAAACAGTCTGGCATCCAATGGTGTAATAAATCCTGGAAAACTTTATGCCCATCCTCAGAAATATACTTGTTCCCTTTCTAGCCGAGTGTTAGATGAGACGGTTAATACCACTCTATGCAGAGTCTGTATGGTAAACATGAATCTGAGGGCCATCAAATTATCTTACCATAGCATAAAAATTGAGCATGGGGAAAGAGCTAGCCTGGCTCTATTGGTAACAAGAAAACAAAATCCACCTCACTTGCTCAAATAAGATAAAATAATAGTTTAAACTAGTTTCTCACTTGCCTGATTAGTTTGATAAATTTAATGTTTGGCAGACTACACTGTAGTTGTTTGTTACTTCCTAAGCTTTTGTTTAAATGCTGCACACTGCAGGCCCTCCTCTAGCTCTGGGTGTGAATTGCTTGTCAAGTGTTGCTTATGCCCCTCGCTCTCTCTCCTCTCCCTCCTCCCTCCCTCTGTCTTTTAGGCCCGGGGTCGTATCCTTGTTCCCTCCTAATGTGCCACTCTCACAGACAGGAGCCCTTGGAGCTGTTTTGTGAGTCATGTGACCTTCTGTGCTGTAGCAGCTGTCACCTGTCCTCCCACAAAAACCACAGGTCAGTACTGAGATACATAGCACAAGGACACTGCAGAGAAGGGCTAACCGCAGGTTAAAAACTTCCTCTGAGCAACAACACCCTTTAACTGTCTTGTCACTTTTATCATCTGTATCTGCATACACTACCCTTGGCCCGCCTAATACCCATTAAGTATTCATGCGCTTTTGTTTTCTGTGATGTTACAGTACAGTAGCTGCCTCTAAGGTCACCAGCATAATGTCGTGTCCCCAGGGGAAACTAATTTAATTCTGGTGTTCTGCATGCCCAAAGAATAAATTAATGAACTTTCTATCTGGTGCCGTGATCTCTCATGTGTTCAGGGTGGTGCAGATCGGGAAGGCCCTCCAGGATCAGCAATGGCTGTTTGAGAGCCTGATGGTGCAGGTGGAGGAGAGGAGGTCCGCAGTAGAGAACAATGCTAAAAAGATAGAGGGCAGGTTGGTTTAGACTCAGAGTCGTCATAATCATACTCCCAAGTCTGAGCAACTTCTGCCACAAATTTAAAAGTGTGAAGTATAACAAGCTAATGCATAAATGAATGTCTTAAATGCTGCTTTCTTCTTCTGCATTTGGGATTTTTCTGCCAGAACTGAGCCATTTATTTTTTCTTTTCTGTCTTCGTAGACTTCATGGAGTAAAGATTGCACACAGGAAGGCAGAGAACCAGATTAAAATGGCAAAGATGATTATGATGAATGAGCTTAACAAACGAGCCAACCTATTAATAGAGCAACTGGAGGTAATTACTTTCTCTTTCTTTCTTTCCTTCTTATCGTTCAGCCAGCCGTGAGTGTACATGCAAAGAATCTGAAATGGCCATGATGTAATCAGTCCCGAAAGCAAGCAAACGAGAGCCCATAATAATATGTCAAAGCTACTTAAGCCAACATCTCAGGAACTACATCTGTCAGAAAAAGAGTCATCGATTTAGCCCACAGCCAAGCAGTGATCCTGTCTGTGTGCCAGTAATTACACATAACCCTATGCATTTTTATGGGTGTCTTCATAGAAAATCTCCGAGGACTTCCAGCAGGGTCTGGAGGATCAGCTGCAGGGGGCAATAGAGATCTGCAGCCAGCTGGACCACGTTCAGAAGTTCATCACCTGGGCTACGACCCACCATTGCAGAGGCCCGGTGCTCTTCAGCAGGGCTCTGGTACGGTGACAGGACTGTGAACAGATGTCAACTGCCTTACTATAACACACATACAGTCCTATGAGGAATTCGTAATTAAATACTGTGAGGGAGTAGAAGAACAGGTTGTATGCTTCTTTTTGTCGTCTTTGAAAAAGTAAACCCTCTTACATCTTTATTTCAAGGGGTATTCCACTGATTATACAGGGAAAGGTCAGTTTACTAGTCAGAGTTTAGTACTGTGCCAGTGAAAACACATGTACAATGTCTTCTGTGTCTCTTATAGTAAGCCTGACAACAGCCTAATTATTATGGCTTGGCCTCAGAAACTACAAATTTTAAGCAGACAGCCTGTGCTATGAACCAGGAGGATGGAGTTTGAAAGATGCAGGCATTTACCAAACAGAGGCAGGAGATGTAGGATCCAGTGTTTTTGGAGCCTGAACCATACAAGGGACAAAAACTCCGGATATCTTGGACTCTTGCATCAGTTTTGACCATTATTCTGTAAATTTGTCTTTTTTGATACCTGCAACTTTTTGAAGTGCAGTAGTACATTGCTTGCATAGTCTTTCAACCGAAACTCAAATCCACTGGTGCAGCTAAAAATTGAGTATGTTAGTATGTTTGGGTTATTTGCACTTGTGTTATTGACAGCTTGGGTTTAAAAGAATTACTGTCATGCCATTGTTATCTAATATCTATCTATTATCTTACATCTTGTAGTATTATTACTGTAGAAATCATTGAAGACGGTGTGGAGGAATGCATCATGTTTTTCATACATAGAATTTACATTCTTTCTGCAGATTTCACTCCAGATGCAGCAACTGCTTGAGCCATCACTCCACTCAGACTCTTGGAATCCTGTCAAGATCAAATTCAACTGGGATGCTAGTTTCTGGATGAAGCAGATTTCCTCTTTAGGTAAAATGAATACTACTGAAGCAAGAGGAATATTCTCTTACAATATTTTATAGCCCTCAATCAAAATGTTATTGCATCAGAATGAAAATGAAATATTTTGTAGACAGGATTAAGTGAATTTCCTAAATGTTTTTGACATAAATGTTAAATTCAGTTTGTCTCTATGACTGTGACTGTATTGTTCTGCAGGCCATCTGACTGTTGAAGGGGGAAACTGCACTTATCCTCAGGGTTTTGCCTGCTCCAGCATTATGAGGCCTCAGCCCATCACCTGTTTGGCTCTGCCACCTGTGTTTCACAGAGGACGAGAGCCAGGATGTGGATACCAGTCCTGCTGTGAGCCCCAGATGTGTTGCCTGCATGGCATTCCCTCTCAGCCAGATCGGCCCAGTCTTGACAAAAGCCAGGTGGAAGCCACACTTTATAACCCCAGTTGTGTTCAGCCTGCCCTTATCTCTGCCTCCCTGCATCAGAGCCAGCAGCTCCAGAGGTGCTGGGACACAGAGAGCTCCATGCACTGTCCTCAGCCCACATCACCTGTTCCGATCATGGGACCCATCCAGCTCAACTGCAGTCGGGGATCTACATCCCAGCCACAAGCTGCTGACTCCCAACCCCACTCTCAGTCTAAATCTTATCTTTCTCATCACCCACACCAAAGAGAGATTCATTCAGACAGCCAGGCACAGCTAAGTGCAGACCGTAGCAGGCCAGGCCGGTGTCAAGGGAAGCTATCGATTAGCACAGGTCTGCAGCAGGAGCTTGGCCAAACAGCTGTGGACAGAGATGTGATGACTGAAGAGAGCTGGGAGGAGAGATGCAGAGTGCAGGAGACTTGTGGTCACACAGCAGTGGTTGACAGCAGAGAGCTTTTGGACGAGGACCTGCAGCAGGACAGGAGTGAGCAGAGTCCTGTCCAGCAGCAGCAGCAGCAGCAGCAGCAGCAGCAGCAGCAACGTCGTGTTCCTCCGGCAGCAGAACTGAGAGAAGAGCAGCAGAGGACGAGACCTGCACTGATGCTCAGAGACCACAGGGATGGCAGGGTGAGAGATTAAGCTAACAGCACACCCTGATACTGATTGATACTGTGTTCTTTTTTTAGAAAGGAACCCTCTAATTTGAATGTTAAAAGTTTTGGCAAAGATATGCGCTGAAACAGCAGTAAACTTCACTGGGGATTAAATCATTATAATCAATAACTAAAAATGACAGGTTCAAAAATCTCACCACAAGGTCCACACTCAGTAGCTGTACTGCCGCTTTCAATCATGTCACACAAACTTCTTGTTTGTTGCCCAGTTGTCATGTTATTGTTCAAATTTCAATTTTTCTGAGCCCTTTAAGGACTTCTCATCCATGTTGGCTCACACGTTGAGATGGAAAGTTCATTTTTGACCATGGAAACAGTAATCTCACCAGCAGCTCTTCTGGAGCTCTCAGTCACATTACACCCTAAAAAATACAAATAGGTTTACCTGACCATAAAATACGTTTTACATATTAAATACATGCAAAATCACATTTGTCTTAAACCATGAAGGGACAACTTTGCATAAAAATGAAGATCAAAATGCACCTAACATTAACAGCAATGCTAAGCAAAGTAAAACAACTACAAAATAGTTGCTGGTTGTAATCATCTTCATAATGCCATGAAGTGAAGCAGCAGAATTGTGACCATTATTTAGGAATACATATTTGTCTCTGATCAGTATCTAACATGAGATCAAAGTAGGACATGTGGTGGGATTCTTTGCATCTCAGTTTTCGGTTTTTCATTTCACACGTGGTTCTGCAATGTTTCTATGGGCTCAAACAAAATTTTCACCCAACTCACAACTCATGACATGGTAAACCACACTGCTGTTTTTACACACTTCTCATAAACCACAATGAATCGATCAGAGTCAGGTCTATTTCCTTTAAAACAGATGTTCTAACACTTGCTCAGAGAAACAGAAAGAACAAACAGACAAAGGAAACAAAGCCTAATTCAAAAGTTATATCACACAATAACAAGTTAAATAATAAAGTTAAATCAAAAGCCACTAAGAAAAAGTTTCACATATGGCAAGGGGTTATTGTATATTTTCTGAACACCTGAAACTAAAAGGAACACAGTTTATTTTAATACCAGAATGATCACTTCCTACAGTTGACAGCTAGCCTGAAAGCAGATGGTGCAACAGAAAGCTGTTCCTGCTTTTATGAAGAGAGGATGATGGGAAAACAAAGAGCTGCTCTGACAATTAAAGCTGGGCTGTTCATATCAAATGCATCCTTAGATCCAGGAGAGCACTGTTCATCGTAGTCAAACTTGATGCCAGAGGGTTGAGCAGCCAGATAATCACCTCTCTAAAAAGTCTCAAGATGCATGATTTCACGCACAAAGATATATTATTTTTTACATGTTCAAGTCACAGCATCTCAAAGCGACATAAAACCACTTGGGCGCAGTCATTTATGTACTTAACCTGTCATTAATGAGTCACTAAGGGAACAGTGGGAGTTTGAGTCGAGCTGGTTTGCACCCTGAGATAAATTCCTGCAACCAACCAACCCCCCCCCCCCACCCCACCCCCCCACCCCCCACCATTCATTCCAGAGAGAAGGATTATAGTCTATTTTCCTCCACAGTCTGAATCCTGCATACCTCTCCCATGGGGCATGGATCAGGTAAGTGTTTTAATCGCATGATACTTAGGAGCACGTGCTCGGTGTCAGCCTGGCCTGAATATGTATGATGGCGCACTAGAAAAAGAAAAAAAAAAGAAAAGAGGGACATGTTAAAAAAGAACTGGTGTTAAATGATTTGCCAGCCCCCCTGCTTCCATTAGCTGAAGACACAGCCGAGGCGTTTAAAGGAGCTTTTCAGGACACTCGCATTAGTGAAGTTTTAATATAAGAGAGTGATTTGCAGTTCTGACTTAATCAAAGGGCCACTCTGAACCCCTGATGGTGAATTTACATATGATAATTGGTGTTGTAACCAAACCTTTCATTCTCTGTACAATAAGAGTAATATATGCAGCTGTGTGGTCCATTCTCCATGTTTGTTGAGTTGTTTTGAATCAGTCCCAGAATATGCTCTGAGTGATGTTTTTGTTAATTCAGTGTGTGCCTGTGCGTGTGTGCGTCCACGTGTGACACTCAAGGTTTTTTTCCACCACACACATCCCACTCCCTTTTCTCTCCTTTCTGTTGTTAATGACATGAACAGGTGCATCTGTGCATGTGATCCAGCTTGAAACCTTGCTCAGATCTGTGTGTTTGTATTACTGACAGAGATCTACGTCCCTGGAGGTGTCAGTGACAGCCCACGACTGTGTATCTGACGTGCAGAGCAGCAGGCTCAGCCCTAGTACAGTGTGCGCGAGGAGGAAGAGACGCTCCCAGAGCATCCCGGCAGAACTGGCAGCCCCATCCTCCAGCCCTTACACTGAAAGGCCCACAGGATGCACTCACAGCCTAGAGGCAGGAGCTGCAAATAAGGTAACCCTTTATCAGAATACAATCACACGTGTGGAGGAGCTGGAGCGCTGATGTCAGATACAGTAGAAGTGATCACAGTTCAGATGTGCACTGTCCATATGTGAGCTCTCATTGAAGAGAAATACTAATAGCAGCACTAATCTCTGTAGCCACACACAGTTCCACAAAGATAGGGATTGGTTTCAGTGATTAAAACTGGTAGTAGCTGTCCTACCACAAGATCCATTTAGTAGCTGTTCTAGAGCTTTCTATCATATTGCATGATTCTTATCAAACAGATGGAGTTGCTCAGTTGTACATTTTCAAATTTCATTTTTTCTGAGCATTGCATAAATTTTTCATCCATGTTAAAAAGGAAAAAAACTGGAAAAATGGAAATCCGAACATCTACAATCTACAATTTACAGGTCTACTGCTTAGAGGTGTTGGGGATTATTATTGCATATGTGAAAAAGGTGTATAAAGCCTTGTGTGGGCCTTTTTGGCCCAGCTGCAAGTTTGAAAATGAAAAAAAAAAAATCGTTCTAGTCAAGTTACATTTACTAATAAAAACTAATGTTTTTTTCCTCTGTCGGAAAAGTTTGCTTACACAGTTTTCGTTTACATTTACATCTTGCTCTCAGTATGCCAGTATGGATCCCAGACAGAGGAGATCTTCAGATGGGGTGCTTTGTGTTGTCAAGGAAACCTCGTCTGACACGGCCGCTCCCCGCAGCCACCGTTCTCCTCTGCTGTCCTATAAGACAGAGCCAGGTGCTGGAAATACTACTTTAGCATGCAATTAATTCTTATATCCTCAAATAAACAAAATACAAAGTTTGTGAATATGTGGTCATCATATTACTCTCTCTTATTTTTTTTTAGACAATTCTTTTACTTATTTAAATGAAAATATTGATTATGAGGCCAAGGAGAAATGCAGGATGTCAAGAAATGGCCACGACAGGTGTGTAACAGCTGTCAAGTCAAACATCTGTCCATGTATAAATCATGAAAATAAGGTCACTCATCCTCTACTTGCCTCAAAAATAACAGAGATGCTCAGAAGGACTCAGGAAGGCCCAGGGTTCCAGTGGTTTGCTTGGAGCGTCTCAAAATACTCGTTTCTCAGCTCCCTCCACACGGACGACGGCAGAGTGACCCTTTACCTGCCAGCGCCATGGAGAAGAGTGAAACTCCTCCACCACAGAGAACCTGGCATGATGCAGTGCCTCAAGTACGTCTCATTTCTTTCATACAGTAGACGAATGGCGATCTTGGTGAAAAACACCAAAGCAGTCAGATTGCAGATCATTTTCAAAACATTTTCAAAATCACTGATGACAACCTTTATTCACATAGTTATAGTCATTGTTTTAACCAGCGGCTGCTAGTAAGAGATTAGATTAGGTAGGTATCGATCTTCTCATCTGATTCTCAGAAAAAAAAACAGGAATTTCACAGAATGTCGAACTATTATTATTATTTAATCCCTTTTACTAATACATAAAAACTGTACAGTATTTTTTAATAAAAATAAAAAGAAAGATAAAAGCTTCCTCTCCTCTCCTCTGTTGTAAATGTAGGGGATAGCTGGAAGCTCTGAGACCAGGAGGACCACCCGCTCACTCACAGCACCACCATATGCTGCAGAGCGACAAACTCGTAATCAGTCTACCACACAGTCAACCAACAGTGAGTTTGTCAGCCAAGGAAGATTCCGCTCTTGTAAAGCACTCACACTGCCCTCCACAGACCCTAAATATGTCCCGCAGAGTTACTCTGCACTGGATCTGGACTCTGACTTTGACCCTAGGTCAGTCTCAGAAGACACAGTTGTTTCCCAGGCTGATCCAGACCCACAGGTAGACTCAGATGCATCACCAGATTCTGACCCAAATGCAGAGTCTTCATCTGAGGCGGAACTTGAATGTCTGTCTGAGGAGAAATCAGCGGCTGCAGGCGAGATGGGACTCTGCAGAGACACTGATATTGCAGGGGATTCAGAGCCAAGTCTTGAATATGAGGCAGACCCAGAATCAGATGCAGGAGCGGGATCAGAGGATGGCCAGGGGCTGGACGCTGATGCAGAGTCAGATGATGCTGAAACAGAATCTGACATTCAGCTTGAATATGATCCCAGTTATCAGGCTGAGACTGACTCTAATGTTGCGTCCGATCAGCCTCCCGAGTCTCAGGGCTCTGTGGAGTCTGAGCTTGACGTTGATTCTGAACCTGAATTGGCAACTGATGACCCACAACCTCTTCGCTCTGACCTGGAAGAGGAGCCCCACATTGGACCTGTTCAGAGGTCGCTTCTGATCGCAAACCCTGCACCTCTGAGGGGGCCAGACGAAGTCCAACCAGAGCAGGACAGTGCAGAGATGGAGAGTGAGGACTTCTGTGCTGTGTGTCTGATTGGAGGGGACCTGCTGTGCTGTGACCGCTGTCCAAAAGTCTTCCATCTGTCCTGCCATATCCCGTCTCTGCTCAGCTTCCCCTCGTAAGCTTCTTATACTGTATACAAAAATAAGAAAATGCATACATTTAACATTATACTCTTACCCCCTATTAGGTTGTTTATTTAGCACCGTTGTTGTCAACCGGACGCTCTTCCCTCTCCTGTTCAGAGGTGACTGGGTGTGCAGCCTGTGCAGAGATCTTGTGCAGCCAGAGGTTGAATACGACTGTGAGAACGAGAGAACATCTGGAGAACACAAACTGGCACACGGACTGTCTGCATATGACCAGAGAGTAGGTCATTTTATTCGCTGCATTAATAATAATGATGACTAGTGGTTTTGTGGTTTGCTCCTTTTCCTGCATTTATAACTAATTTTTTTCATGCTTGGTCGACTGTAGAAATGTGAGCGGCTGACTCTTCTGATCCTCAGTAACATCCTGAGCGCTCCCTTCCATGAGCCCGTCAGTCCACTTGTAAGTGATCCCACTTTTTTCATTCATTTTTCATTATACAGTAGCATCATAGTAGTTTTCCTCATGTTTCTCCATACATAAAAACACAGACTTTGACTGCTGTTATATTCGTGTGGCTCAGGGGGCTTAAATGTACCCTGTGGGTACAACAATTCTCTCACGAAAACACAATATCCTCAAGGCCTGACAAATGTGTTGAATACATTTCCTTCCTCATTAGACATTTAAAAAGCTGAATTTTAGAATAAATTGAGGCATGCATTACATCCCTGTGTACATCAGCTAAAAGACTTCTTATTCTCCGCCTTTGCTGGTGCTTCTCAACATTTCTTCTGTCAATCAGCTGAAATTAAATGTGTGTTTTGCCACATGGTTCTTGTGCATTTGGAAGACATATGACAAATGGAGACCACACATAAAAACATTGCTTGATAACTCTGCTCAAAACCACTTTACACTGAAACCCATCATTATTTGAGCATATGTTATCATAGGAAAGAACTAGTATTGCCTGATATAGATTAAGATTTAGATTCTGTTCCAAACAAGCACCATGTATGTAGGTGGAAGCACATTTGTCATAGTGATAAATCTCATAATACAATCTATGGAACATTTACTTGTATTTTGAAGGGGAAAGGGCTTTGAGGTAATTAAATTGGACTCAGTTCAACAAGAGAACTAAAGTGGCTTTTTCATGCAGGCTCGCCATTACTACCAGATCATCAAGAGGCCGATGGACCTGTCTGTAATCAGAGCCAAACTCAATAAGAGGAACACTCGACATTATAACTCACCAGATCAGTTTGTTGCTGATGTCTGTCTCATGTTCCGCAACTGTGCAAAGTTCAATTATGTAAGTTAAAAAGTGATATCTTGTATGTGTGTATTCAATGTACAGCTTGTCTCATAATTATTGTCATAATCTCAACGATAAATATAATCATCATCAGTCAGTGCTTCACTGGTAACTGCTCTTTCTCTCTGACCATAGCCTGACTCTGAGGTGGCCCAAGCAGGCCGCAGCCTTGAGGCATTCTTCACTTCTAAGCTGAAAGAAGTTTTCCCAGACAGAGTGTTCCCTGCGGCTGAGGCAGACTCTGACAGCGACGAGTACGATGAGGCCTACAGGACCGCTGAGAGTGGTTTCCCCTGGCCAGAGAGGAGGGAGCAGTGCCACAGGAAGAGGAAGAGGAGACACTCTCTCAAGTCGAGGAGACATCACTTCTAACCAGAGGTGAACCGGGTGCAGCCATGGACACAAATCTGCTGCATTTGTGTTTAATCATACTGTTTTTGTTGAGTAGCATGTGGGGCTGTCACAGTCTTTCCATTCTGTAATGTGAAAGTTAGCCCTCTTTGGGGTTTGCGGTAATATCATAGTGCTGCCATCTGATGGCAGCTGAACATATTGAAACAATAATTGAGCAATTATTATCCCTGCAGACGTCAACTGATCAGAGGAGCAGAGAGTGTAAAAAATATCAGAAAAAGTTTAGGTTACATATTATATGCTACACATTTGGAACCGTATCTCTTTGGAGAAAATCAAAGAGTATGTTGAGCTGCTTCTGCTTCAAACAAGTTATAGTAGTGAGGTGATGCTGTCATTGTTTCTGTATCATATCATATTTTGGACATTGATGATTTGCCCCTGATGCACTGGAAATGACTAACTGTGTTTACAATTAGACCTCCTAAAATCACATACCTTACATTATATGCCATGTATATTGTATAAAGAGGATGCTGTAATTGGATGTTCATTAGTCTCACTTTGCATCTTTATTAAGTGGCCCTTTTTTTAGGTGAACATATCCCTCATTATACACAGCACTTTGAAACTTTGATATTAGTAAATTCTGTATTTTACCATATTCGTAAATGTTCAACATATTTATACATGTGTAACTGTACAGAACTTTATTTTACTATATTTGTCATTTTAATTACTAAATGATTGCAGGCAATTATGATAGGTTTGATTATTGATATAATTATGTGTCTCAGTAGCTTTTTTTGAAAAGCATCAGTGAATCCTGTTGACTTTGTCTTTTTGAGCAGAGTGATACAGAATGTGAGTGATTGAGGGAACTATAACCAGTGTTGGAGCTTAACAGGGCATATGTATTTTCATGTTTGTTAGAGGATTTAATATCTAGATTAAACCATAAATTTTGCATTTAACCATAAATGTTGTATTACTCCATTATCTAAATATCTCAGGCTGAATAAGAGTGTAAGGTATTGATTTCATTCACAATTGATTATTTAAAAAATGTCCTTGCTTTGTAGAGCCACACTGTTGAGAGGAAATATGTAATTTTATAATACGCACTGTTGTAGCGCATTTCCTGTTTTTAAATATACTTTACTTGCTTCCTGCTGCGTAAGATAGACTTTTACAGTAATTAATGCACAAATTATTATCTGTATCTTGATCATTCCCAAGACTAGTGAATATACAGTAAACCTGTATGTTATGTTACTTCTTTTTAAATCAATGGATGTAATAATATTTCCTATTGTCTGAGGGAAGACTGCTAAACTATAGTTACTGTCTCTGTTCTTTTTTTCATTTTTTTTACTGTAACAGTAAATGCACATATATTAATATCAATAAAATGCATTCAAGAAATGATTTTTTTTTAAATGTATTTTTCATCAGCCATTATTGATCATTATAGCTTACAGGAGAGGAACAAATGGAAAACAGTCTCATTTACAGTTTACTGTAAGTATTTGCTGTACAGTAAATCATACAGTATCTACTGTATGAAACCACCAACTATAAATTTATAGTTGGTATATTTATAGTTGGACCATATTTTAACTCTTTTCAGCATCTCTCCTAAACGCTACAGTAGCATATACAACATATACATTCCTTAACATTAGATTTCATCTTTATTTACTCTGGGAGGTGGTACATTTCCAGAAGTTCAAATATGATGAAATATGACATTTTATTGTCTATCAATTCTTCAAAATTAATTAGCTCTAGATGTAAGATCTTTTGATTTGCATCTTGATTTTTATGATTTTTGGCTCCCTGAAAAATATGATTTTTGGCTCCCTGTGAAATATCTCCTTTAATGTCACTGTGTCTCTGATTAAACTCAGTGATGATGATGCTGATGATGATGATGATAGTGATGATGATGATGAGGATTGAAATATCCCTTGCCAAAATCCCTCTCTGAGGTAGAGTGATAATAAATCCAGTGTGTTTGTGTTGGACGATATAGCATGGTTTGTATCTCTGAGTGGTGAGATGTTATTATGTGGATCTGCAGAGGGTTTGTGCAGATTTCACAGCAAAAAGTCCAACACAGGGTACAAGTAGCATGCTTTTTGGACACGAGAAAATAAACAAAAATAGAGTAAATAACACAGTTAACGAATCAATATCCCTGCAGCATTCCTGATTCGTAGCACAATAGCAAATCGTAGCAAATCAATTTTCCTGACTGATTCGTTAACTGTGTTATTTAAAATCTGGTTTTTATAAGAAGTAACATATGAAATAAATGTGAACTGCTGCACAAGTGAAGAGTTAAACACAGCAAATGAAAATGCACAAAGCTTTCTCACAGAGAGGCAAATCAATAAGATCATTTCTTTGAGAGGAGATGACAGAGGTATTGCTGAAACAGCAAGTTAAATTCAGCCTGGACAAACTGAGTTGAATTTTCTCTCAAATGGCAGTAACATAAAAAGGTTTTAGTATGACTTTTAAAGCTACTGTGACTGTCATACACAACTTAGGAATTAAAGTTAGTCCTTCCCCAAAAACCCTTAAACCACTTCTTTTTTTTTTATTATGAGTACATATAGTTGAAAATACCACTGACAGACACTGAACTAAAAATGAGGACTCACACGCAGCTCCATGTTTTCATGTATAACACCTCCCGTTGATGTTTTGATGTACTTTCTTTACAGCCTGATGTCATTGCAGTAAGAGAGCTGAAGGAGCTGGAGGAGAGAGGAAGAGATTGGGGGACTTTTTTTTTACCCAGAGTTTGGTCTTTAAGGTAGGAGGCTCTCATCAGACTATAACCATAATTGTAACCCAAACCTTAACCATCTACCAAACTATCGTGATTGCCAGAGGTTTCATCTGAGAGCAATCAGCCAGCACCTCCTGGAAGACTTAATTCAAGGCAAACAATAAAATTTGATATGGTTTTTGGCAAGTGTAAAAAGTCAACAGCGGCAGCTCAATTGCTCCATGTCCTCTTTAATCTTTAATTAATCTTATGACAATTCCCTGTGTTTGATTCTGTCTGCTCTGAATTTCCTGACCTTGAAATCCTCTGCTTACAACTCCAAACACAAATGTTTTAGCTGTTTTGCACCACTGTAGTTTCAGCCAAGCAGCAAGTTAAAGAAGAAAGATGCTCTCAAAGAGCTTCTTCACTGCCACTTCACATCAGATTATCTGAAAAGCATGAAAGAAAGAGAGATGTAGCTTGCTGAACTGTGTTCTGGCTTTTTACCCAGGAGACACTGCTGGCTCTTGCTGCACGTCACACAAGAAATTGCAGAGAAAAGGTTTTGAAAATTAGTATAAAATGTGTAATTGCGTGTAAAACAACATTGTGATTGTGTCTTAAACTCAAGGGGAACAGTATGGGAGTGTTCGCAAAAGCACTTTCTGGAATTTACCCTGGATTTTGTATATCTGGATATCTGTTTCAGATTTAGTCATACAATAGAAGGAGGAATGTTTCTTAATAGGGAAACTGATTTCTGGAGAAAGGAGAGATTTTAAAGACAAGTCCCCGATGGTGTTTTAAAATGTTATTGTTGTTAAACTGAAATAACAGGACCCCCTCAGTACAGATGCTGTCCAAGTTGGAGTTCAACATCAGCTCAATGTTGTAATGCACTGTAAAAATCATGTTTATTTAGGAGCAACGATAAAACGCTATCTTTACTAACATTACTCTGCTCATTTTTTTTTTTTTTAAAAAGGATCACATACAGCAAAAAGGCACAGGTGTTAATATGTACACTGTTTTGGTCAGGGGGCATCTTGCTATGTTTTATTCCTGAATAAGGTGTGTGACCTTTCAGTCAGCAGACTTGGAGTAAAACATTACAGGATAATAATGAGACACTTCTGTGACCTTTGGTGAACAATGAAAAAGGGCAGACAGAGAGGTTCTGATAGTACTGAGAGAAAAATGAGAGCTGACCAGTGAAGCAGTCTGTGAAATCAAAGTTGCTGAATTTTGAGCCTCACTGAGGTCAGCCGTCATGTTACATTTTTAACATGTGCTGGTATTTTTATAGTCTGTAGCTTAGATTCTGTAACTATAACATGTCTGTGGATTCACTGGCTTAAAGGGATCCTAACATAACAGCACTATGAGGAAAAAAAAATGTCCTCAGTTTCTCAAAAATGTTGCATGTTGCTCTCAATACCTCTGTCTAAAAACCTGTCTGTATTGTGTTTTTACCACCCTGCTTGGAAAACTGAGAAGGGGCAGAGACCGTGCATGTTTTCAGTTCTCACAGGGGGAGACGTTTAGTGGTGAAGCGCTCAGTCTGTAGAGTGGTACGTCGTGTACAGAAGACAGAGGAGAGGAAGGAGAGTTTTCACAGCCCATACCACCATGAATGACATCAAGTTGGCTCTGCTAGGGAGCGAGGGTGCTGGTAAAACAGGTGAGCACAATAGACACTGACCTGATGTACTGTGCTGTTTTGCTGATGTTTCTTTTTGGTCTGTAAACTTTGCATGGTACAGAATACATTGTGGACTATGTGACAGTGTGACATCGTTGTTTGTCTGTGTATCTAATATAGCTGATATACTGTCCATTATAGGATAAATAACCATCCAATATCCACATATTTTGTTTGTCTGTGGATGTTCAAGTCCTTTCTTTTATGTAAGACTTCCTGACAAACATACTCATATTAAAAGTATGTTAATAAATTAGACACACACATGCAAAAGATAATCTTTCCTTGCAGCATAAGGACACACACCTCTGATGAAGTCTCTGACAATGTCCAATTTGAAATGTAGAGGTTTCATACAATACAATGATGTTGTGTGTGTGTGTTATGTTAGTAACGTGCATGTACCTCCAATACTGACTCCCTTTTTCTTACTCGCATATTCATATTCCAGCTCTCCTGGTGAGATTCCTGACAAAACGTTTTATCGGAGAATATGCCTCCAGTGCCAGTACGTAAATATACTCAATAAACCAGCAATTCTGTTATATCATAGAGAGATATGTCATATATGGCTCTCATGGGCTTTCCACATTGTTTCTGTTGGCCTCACACTAATTACATTATGTCAATTTGAGGTGACTCAACAAAACCTCCTTTGCAGTCTGTTTCATAAGGGTTTGAAATCAATGACGTGCACATTTTACCACCACTTAGTGTTTATCTTACAGGCTGGGTATCTGTAATAGAATTACAGTTTGCAGAGGGGTATAACATTTCAAACCTTTTCACTTCTGGCCTAAATCAATTAGCTTGTTTGCCCCCTCTGAGCAATCATGCACCACAGTAATTATACTAATCTTTGTTCCATGGTTTGACTAAACTGGCACCATGCTGTGATCACTGCCTCTCTGTGAGAAAGCTTTGTGCATTTTCATTTGCTGTGTTTAACTCTTCACTTGTGCAGCAGTTCACATTTATTTCATATGTTACTTCTTATAAAAACCACATTTTACTTGTTTCTTTGCAGATTCTTTCTACAATAAAAGGATGTCCATCGACGGGAGACAGTTAAATTTGGAAATATTTGATCCATGTTCACAGGTCGTAATAGTATATTATATCTTTCTAGGTGATGAATAATTTTCCTCTGTACCACACAGAGTAATGTCATCAGTTTATGTGTTGGTTTGAGGCTATTTCTAATATTCTCTCAGCCTTTACAGGTTTGTGCTGTAACTATTACGACAGCAGAAAATGTTTATAGTGAGCACAAGTGGTTTTCTTTACCACCAAAGTTTTTACTCTTGTTGGCTGCAAAACTCCAGAGTCTCACATAACATGAAACTCTGTGACCCTGCTGCATACTATATTGTGCTGCAGCTAATTTACCATCTCATTTAGCACCCTTCTTGTCTATTTTGGCAAATATCCATGTTTCTCATCACTATTCAGTTTTCTGCATTAATTTGTGGATGAAGAATCCTTTGTTTCAAACTTTTTTTGTTCTGTTTCTGTAGTCAGATCAGTTGATAAACAATGTGCTGTGTGTCTGATGTCCGCATCCACCTTTGCTGTGTCAGAGTGGAAGCAGCAGATGCATCCTGGAGGAGTCTGCGAGCTGGGCAGATGGATTTGTGCTTGTGTATGACATCAGTGACCGAATGTCCTTCCTCCACGCCAAAAGCATCCTGCGGCAGATCAGAGAGGCCCGAGAGGAGAGCCGTAAGGGGTGAGTGACCGTAGTCTGCTGGGAATGAAGCTGAGCTGAGGGATTTGCTTTGATGAACTAATGAGTACCATTCCTGAGATGAATGTGTGTAGGCCTATCAGGGTGAGGATCAATGTGGTATGCTGCGAGTTCAGGACTACATTCCAACACGCTGTACTGACTGAGATGAGCACAAGTATCCCAGTATGGAGTACAGTTTCACTTTGTAGTCAAACAGAGCCAAATATGAGCACACAGAGTTGAAGACATTTTGATTATGGACTCATACTGAATATTCTACGAGTGAAACCTCACAGCTCCTCCAAGTTAATTAACTGGGTAAATCAGTCAAATAATCTTTGAATACTTAATATAAACTTTTCTTGTTCATGTTAATTTAAATGGAATAAAAATATACATACGGAATTTCTTGAAAGACAGCAACAGCTGGAGAGGATAAAAGCACCATCACTCTCCTTGAGGACCAACTTCCTTGAGATTCTTTTCCTAAAATATTATGAGAGGAGAATTAAAAACAGTTAAGGAGACCACTGTGGAGGGCACTGCCTTTTCTGTGTTTCACTGAAACCAGAGCCTGATTTCCATGACTTGAATTGTTCCCCCTTTGATATCAAGTGGAGACCAACAATAAGTACTAACCATCAGTACTTACAGTATAGCTTACATCTTCCACCAGCCTACCCAATTTGATTACATTAATTATACTGACGCACTGATATAAAATTGAGTTAAATTTATTTTGCATTTACATGTTTATTCATTCATTTGGTTTATTAAATGGGGACAAAAGAGAATATAAATGTTTGTAAAGATTTTATATGGAACATTATAATGTTACATTGCATGAAAAGCAATAAAATGCAAAAACATTAATGTTAACACAGCAGCTTCCTACATTGATAATGTTGAGATGTTCTGAAGATGCTATAGAAAGAACCAAGTATTTTTAATCTTACCTGATGATGTTGTTGTTTGGTCAATCTGCACTGCCATTGGCACCATCACCACCTGGTTCACTGGTTGTTGTATGACGCTTCTGAGCTGTCTCTATGGCAGACTGGTGGATGCTCCAGTCTTCTTGGTGGGGAACAAGCAGGACCTGTGCAACGCTCGGCAGGTACATGGGGAGGAGGGCCGATCCTTGGCTCAGGAGCATGCCTGCCACTTCCAGGAGGTGTCTGCAGCGGAGGACTACTTAGAGATATACAACCTCTTCACTAAGCTCATTCGTCGTGTAATGGAGAACCTTAAGCACCGTGCAGACCGCAGACGTTACAGTGGCTCCAAGTCCATGGCAAAACTCATCAATAATGTCTTTGGTAAAAGGCGGAAGTCTGTCTGATGGAGGAAATCAGTGGTTACTGATTATAATATATGTAACTATACGCACTCTTTGTCTGGATACTCCAAGCATTTTGTGTTGGTCAACAAATATGCGGATATATTCAATGGAGCATTTCAAAATATCTGTTTTTTTACTGAAATTGAAATTTTACTGTCTTTCCTAAGGAAATAAATCCAGTATTTGGATCTATCTTGACTAAATGTTTCATTTCATTCTTACTGAAAACAACGGGCAATCTAAGTGGGATTAAATGTTGGTGATTTCACACCTGACTGTGTTGTTCTGAAGCTCTCTCAAATCAGAGCAAAAAAGCAAAATTATACATTTAACTTGCCTAATGTCACGTGGTATGTTAATTTAAATAAATCCATTAAATTTAAAGTTTTTTGTATATCTCACAGCTTTCTGATAAAGTTGTATCATAAACTTTCTAACAGATAAACCATTTTGCAATTTGCAGTTAGTAGCTGAACTGCAGTATGCGACATGTTTTTATTTCTTAATGTAGAGAAAATGGGAACACTGCATCCAGTAGATCTACTGAAAAGCAGGTGTTAGTCTTAAAATATGGTTTGCTAGTTTGCAGTTAAATGGCCCAGACTGAAGTTCAGGCTGCCCAAATAACAATTAAGGTTAAAGATTTACAGATGACCCCTGCCACTGATTAAAATCGCATGCAACAGCACCATTTTAACTGAAATAGAGTTGCAGGCTAACTCAGTTAAAGCTGTCTTTCAGTAAGTTTGTTGTTGTCCCACACTGTTAGGACAAGGAACAGCTTAATAATGGAAAAAATGGAGAGTAAGAATAAAAAATGTGTAAAATTAAAACAAAGAACATGAAAGCACCAACAAATGAATAAATAAATTTGGCTGCTTTTCTGTCTGAAGTAGTAATGTTTAAACATTTAAATAAATAAGCAGTGTAGTATTTTTGATGTGCCAAGAAATGCTAATGTATGGATGAGTTAATAGCATGTCTTGGTAAAATCTTTCAGAAGTGAAATGTAACTCAGTAGATTCACTGAAGTACTGTAGATAAGTAAAAATGCCAGGTAGTAGTACCTGACTTGAGTATTTTCCTTTCATGCCACATTATGTTTCTACTTTTTTCTGAGAGCTTTGCAAGTTACTTTGAAAAATAATATCTTTAAAGATCATATCAAATATGATCCTTTGCTATAAATCACACCACCCAACAATATATAGCCTACAAGTAAAGCTGTAACAATTTGTCAATTAATTGATTTGTCAAGTTACAGAAAATCATAAATAAGTCATTTTCATGCAAAAATGCCAAACATTTCATGGTTCCAGCATACAAATGTGAAGATTTGTTGCTTTTCCTTTTGTACAATTGCTTTGACAAAACAAGTATTGTGAAGGTACCACACTGAGCTTTTGGTAATTGTATAAAATGCTGCATTATTGCATAAATAATAATCTAATGATATAATTTATAATAGTACAGTGGCAGGGTCCATTTCCTTACAATGAGTAGGCCTACCTTTACCTTTAAACTATGTACAGTTTTCTGATTATACTTACATACTTAAGTAATAATTTCATAGCAGGACTTTTACTTGTAATTTTGTTATTTTTTAGTGTGGTATTAGTACTTTTACTGTGTACTTCCTCCACCACTGAGTATGTTCTCATAGCTGCTTTAATCATATAATAATAATAAGCGCTTTGGAGGCACTACTTACCTTCACTTTTAAATGTCATTTAGCTTTCTACATAATTATTTAAAAATCCCTTTTTCTGTAGATTTTAATTTAAGTAAGGGATGAATCAACATCTCCAGTAACAACTTCGTCCACTAGATGGAGACAAAGGACCGAGTAAAATACAGGTTGCCACTGGGCAAACACTGGTTCCCCCTGCAGCTTATATACATACAAAGGAGAGTTCAGGTTATTATGTAAGTTGGAAATTCAGTGGAAGTCCTGTAGTGATCAGGTTTATCCTAAAGAAAGGTCTACTTCACATCAGGTCGACACACACCAGCCAACAGCGACGCTGCAATCTCTCGAATCGAGGAGAAGCCCCGTCCATTCATTGAAGTTTTGTCCCTCTTCGCTTTCCCTACTCACTCGCCGAAAAAGTTTTTGCGTGAGGAAACAACCTGCCGAATGAAAATGCTCTGTTCTAAAAGGTGAGTAACTTTTCTTGAACTTCTCTAACAGCAGCTGCCTCGTTGTGTCCGAGGTACATTCATACGTGTGTCGTTTCATACGTTTTTACCCACTAGAGCAAACGTTTGTGCAACTTTATGTTTCGTTGCTATGACAACGCGTGCCAGGGTGAATGCTACCTTAAATTAATGTCGGTCTTCAGGCTTTCTGTGCTATTTGATGTTATAATAAGAGCAGATTAATTCGTTTTTTTAACGTTACAAGATGGCCGTTGACAGAGTAACAGTTCACCAGTTGAGTCAGATGAGAAAATTGAAGGATTTCATATTAACCATAAGACATTTAGCTGCAAAAATATCAGGAACATTACAGACCAGGAAAATACCTTTACAGATCAATATAACATGCAAGCCTAATTAGTTTGAGATACTGCAAGCGTTAGCTGGAGCAGTCTTTGTGTGAATAAATTCGCCAGCTGATTGAAAAAGTACAAAATCAGCTTGGCAAGTGGACAATGAATGATTTATAACTGAAAGTGTAGACATCTGTGTATTCTGATATGAATGTGCTGACTTCTCTTGTCATCGAAATGAATTCGATTTGTTCTTGTTTCTGCTATGGCCTACATTTTTATAGATGTTTGCCCTCCTAGCTTCGCAAAGCTGAGCCCAGCAAGGGCAGAGATTAGCTTTAACCAGGATTAAACCAATGAGAAAATTTGAATTTGTTGGCCCTTATCTCCTAGCTACATGTGGAGTGCTCTGAGCAAATAGCAGAATTCGATCTTTTGCTTCCTTTTGGCAAAGCATGTTTTCTTGCCAATAGACACTTATCAAACATGACCACTGAAGACAGGAGGAATTCTTGGAGGGACCTTTAAATTATTTGTTTATAGGGACAACATGCATTACTTGTTTTCTGGATGTAGAAATAGGAACTTAAAGCACCTCCTTTTTGCCTGTCCTGAATACCATCAACTGTCAGGTGTGTTTCTGTATCATTGTAATACAAACTGCATGTGATATTTCTCTGTTCTAACTGTCGTTTTCTGAGTCTCTCAAAAGTCATTATTTGAGATAAAATGATGATTTTACAATACATCTTGTATTACAGCTGGTTCTGTGTGGTGTTATAAAAAAAGGGTATAAAATAAATCCACTCAATCTATCACTCTGTCTGTCTATGTAATTTTGGCCAAACAGCAAACAACATTTTACATATTTAAAATTGTATCAGAAACATTCTCACAAATAAATCATTTTGCAATTTGCAATTGTAGGGACACTACATGTATTACTTGTTTGCTGAGTGTAGGAATTTTGTTAGTCCTGCAGACCATTAATTGTCAGGTGTTTTTCACAGCTGTGCAGTAAGTGTGTTGTATGCTTTAATGACTTAATTACATTTGGACCACGAGCTTTGATAATCTCTCTGCATAAAATCAGGGTTCACCCCATAACTTAGCGAAGTAGATGGGCTCTATATTTGCATTCTAAACATGCAATTTCTTGCCTCATCAGGTAATGTAATTCCACGCTTCATTAGGACTGTGAAGTTTATCATTTGTCATCAAAGCCAAGCTGTCAATAAATGATTAAGTTTCACATAAGGAAAATGTAATATTTGGGCTCAAGCAAAACGGATAGCAGTGTACATTTTAATTGCAGTTTGTAAGATTTTGCTTTTGTTTGATTTTCAGGCTATATTTTACTGGCTATTTGTTACAGCTTGAAGCACTGTCATTAGAGAGCAGCTTAAGCCTAATTTATTCTACTATTTATGCCATTAAAGAAAGAAAACTTCTAAAGTAACTGTGTAATATCTTGACGGTTTGGTTGAAAGTGAAAAGTAATAACTGTTTTGACACTGTGGTTTCAGCAGTATATGCCATTTCTGTCTAGGGTAAACAACTGCTGACTTTTGGTATGCTGCAGTTGTTCTCCCTTAGCTTTAGGGGTGCAAATAAGTATTATTTCCATCATTGATTAATCTGTCAATTATTTTTACAATTAATTTATTAAATGGCATATCACTTGTGTTCACCACTTCCTACTTGCAGGTGTTTTTCAAAACAGCAGCATCTGCCAGTAAAAAAAAACAAAAAAAAACATTTATGCAAAATTGTCAGAACTGTGTTTGTCTTGTTCAACAGTTTTATATCACTGAATGTAAAGAACATTGCACCCTCTAGGGGCTAGAACGGTGGGAGAAAGAATAAATATACATTACCTCAAGTTAATGAAAGACAAGCAGGTTTAAGGGAAGAAAAGTTACACAGGATCAGAGTCATCCTTTGTATGTCCATGCTTTGTTTGTACCAAAGTGACATTGATTTTGTGTGCTTAGTTCTCTGACAGTATCCCCCACACTCCCAGTCATTAGGTACTACGTATATTTATTCACTCAGTAGAGTAAAGAAACAGAAATTGCTGTCCGACAGAATGATGGAGAAATGAGGCAAGTATGGGCTTGACTTGTGATGAATCGTCAGCTCTAATTACTTCCTGCTGAAACTGGAGATGAGGCAAATTCAATGTAAGAGGTGGACCTCAGCCTGTCTCCTTGGAGTTGGTGTGTGTACTGATGTTTGCTCATCTTTCAGCATGTCGGTATGTGAACAAAGACCATTATGTTTTGACATTGGTCATTTGTACTGTCAACTACAATTTAGTCATTATTTGACCTAGTTAGTAATTCTTTTACCAGTCCTCTGTCAATGTAGAGGTGAAAAAAAAGAGATCCACTCAGAATTTGGTGATACTGTAACACTGACTTAATCAAGTCTTAATCAAGACTTGCTCTTTCAGTGAGATTTTCACATTTCACATGATGTACAGGTATATGACAGATAATTTAGCCTTAATGGAGGCCATTTTAGGTGCACTGGTGGCACAGGGGCACAACTCTCAACCTACCACTACTGAGAGGTTTCAGTCCTGATTGTATTTTCAGCAATTTGGTCATGCAACAAACACAGTTGGCCACGTTTTCAAGTTGCGAGCTACGAAAAGATCATGTCCTTGTCACTGCATCAGCGACTCTAGAGTGTTGTTTGGGGCAACTCCACTAAAGAGTGGTGGGATTTGTAAGAAAGAGCAGGAACATCCTGCCTGTTGCAGTTTGTTACTGGTGGATTAAAAGATTTGGTTGCTTTTGTAAGTGGCATTTCATTTTATGAACTTGGCAGTAGAGGTGCTATGTATATATATATTGATCGATCAAGGTTCAAATACAGTAATTATTGGGTGCATCTGGGCCCAAATCTATCTCTAATATCCCACCTCCAGCCCCTCCAGTCCTCAGTTTGGGATTGTGGTCAGGTGAAGTGTAAAAGTTTTAAGTTATTAAGTTAAAAAAAGAAACAAAACAAAACAAAACAAACAAAAAACAAGTAAGTAATTTATTATGTGTTTTGACCTGTAATTTGACCTGTAACAGAAACACATCTAGAGATTGCAGACAGACAACCCCAGGCTTGAAGCAATTGAAGACCCGTGTCTAGGTGACCCTTTTTAAGGCCAGGCTTCTCGCCCTGACCTGACCCTGATATCCCATTTCCTTTGAATCAGGGATTTGGGGCTAAGGACCAGACACCTCTGTCTTGGAAACCCATGAGGTTCACAGGACCCTCCTCTTCCAGTTACAGTCCCCAGTGATACACTCATCACATGCCTCTGTCTTCCACAAATGAGCTGTGATTGAGGTGATTGGAATTTCCAGACGCTGTCACAATCGTTTTGATTGGAAAATAGACAGGAGATAATGGGAGAGACAGGCCTGTTATGAGAGCCCTGTCAGGGCTAAAATAATGCATCAGAGTGAAGAGGTTAAAGACACCGTTTCCTTGTTAATAATTAATTGCTGTGCGTGTGGTGGATCCACTTCATCGCTCCCAGTCATCACTTGATAATTGCTTTACATTTAATTTGGCTTTAGAGACTGTTTTTCAAGCTGGGTAAATTGTGCTTAAAGTTAATATGGGCTCAGACAGAGACAGCGGTTTGGTCATAAACCTCTGATAACAAAAAAAAAGTGACAAGTTAGAATTAGTAAAGTAGTAAAGATTCAGTATACACTACTTCTTAAAGTGTAGACGTTTTTTATTCAACCTTTATAAGCTAACTTAAAAATAATATCTTTAATACTGGTAAAATAACCCTCAACTTAAAGAATTTTGTTAATTACTTTATGCTTTTTCGAAACTAGCAGTGGTGTTTGTATTTGAGAATATTTGTGTGTTTTTTTTCTAGAAGTCAGTAACATTATATTTAGAGATATTGAAAAACTGGAAACAATGCTGTTCATTTCGTATACTGGACAAATGTTAGCCTCTCAGTACTGAAGCAATTAGTCAAATGACCGAAAATGTATCATTGCAATTATAATAGGCAATAGATAATAGTACTCGTCTAAGTCGTTTTAATGTCAAATATATCAAATGTCAGAATTGGCTGCTTTTTGTTCTGTTTACATTGTTTCATTGAAAATGTAATGCTTTTGGGTTTTGGACTCTTAGTCAGCCAAGATTTACAGAGGTGATGGTGTAATTGCCTACTGAGTTACTAGAAATCTAGTATCGGTCGGGCTCTTTATTAGGCAGGATGGTAAACTGGGTCATGAAAGAATGAGAGAACTTACAGTAGGACTGCCTTTTGTCTTGGTCGACTAGGAGATGCTTGGTTGATTGCTCTTTTTTAAGGTTGGGAACGGGCTTTTAGCAATCAGTTAGGAATGTAAAGTGATGGTCACATCTATGGCACCACAACAATATTCACAAACACAAGTTGGTCTTTTATAAACACTATATTTTAAGAAATCCCTCTCCATGACTTCATTAAAAACATGTCATGGACAGCCCTATTATCTCATGGCTTGATGAGGAATTTCAGGGTGATAATGATTGCCCTCTCCTTCCATCTCTAGATGACAGAAGCAGATGTTAGTGGATTAGACATGGACATGGTGTCCCCACGGACCAACAGGGACACATTGGAGAGGGATGTGCCTGCAAAACGCCTTGAGAATGATGCTAAACTCAGGGTATGGAGAGCTTCTATACATGATTCCACTACAGTCCTGTGTTGTGCTATGGGACCACCAGTGAAGAAGTCACACATAGTCACTGGTGACCTCTATAGTACACTCTATCTGCACCAGAAGGGGATCAAACTTCACTTTGCTGCTGTATAGCCCCCCTTCACTGGGGAATTTGACTGCTCCCTTTGCCAAATTCGAAACAGCCAGTGCTCAGCCTTGCATGCACACAGATAATGATCAAGTTAATTAGACCTGAGATTGAAGGAACTGCAGCAGCAACTTAATCATTTGTAACTTGATTAGAAATACTATATTCTGCAACTCCAGGGACCAGAAAGCTTTCAGTTTTTTTTCAGAGAGCTTGAAATTAGGATGTACTTCAGATTTCAGGTCTTGAGCTAAGACATAATGTTTTTGTAATCCAAAACAGTGAAATGATCCTAAAATCCTAAACACAAGCTCAAGGGAAATCCTCTGCTGTCTCTGACTGACAGGAACAGGTGTAGATTACAGATCTAGTAATGTTTTCTTCCTTTCCTATCCCCCATAGGAAATTTATAAATTTGGAAGAAAATTGGGTCAAGGTAGCTTTGGAGTTGTTTATGAAGCCACCCACATTGGGACACAGACAAAGTGGGCTATAAAGGAGGTGTGCAGACCAGCGGTGAGTACATTTGGTATACCTGTGGCCAGTCTGTTTTTCAATGTGATAAAAAGTTAACTAATAACTAATAAGAGATAGTTTATCGTGTGTAGACAAACAAATGGCCATAACCATGCTGAACCTCCATCAGCTGACCTTCTGTCACTTCAGGCAGGAAGTTCGAAAGTCGAGATGCTGGAGCATGAAATAGACATTCTCAAACAAGTGAATCATGATAACATAATACATCTAAAGGAAGTCTACGAGACGCCCAGGGTGAGCATTGCTGTGTCCTTTAAGTCACAAATTCAAAGTAAGTATAGTTAAGAGAGTCAGTTGAGAGTGATGCATGTGACATAGAATCTCCTATTACCATATGCCCTCTGTATAAAATATTTCTGTTAAGCACACACACATTGACTGTATGGTGAGATGCATTTTGTTTGCTTGTTTCTAGATGATGTATTTGGTTACTGAGCTGTGCGATGGAGGTGAACTGAGGCATCTGTTGCAACGGAAAAGGTTCTTTACAGAGGACGAGACAAGGCATATCATCTGTAGCTTAGCTGACGCCGTCGCCTACCTTCACAAAAGAAGTAAAGTTATTCTACAGGTTGACATTTTGATAGTATTAAGAATAATCTAGAAAATCACACTAGCCTAAAATCTAGTTTTGTTGCTGCTGTGATGTAGTGGGTGTGACATAATGGTGTTAAATAATGCTATTGACCTTGTTGTTAAGTTACTTCACATGCTTCATATTCTAACCCTAATTACACTTGAGTGTGGAACAAGTAGTATTGGGTTATGTTTTAGTCTGGGGTATTTTAGATTGTTAAATTAAATACACCGGTGGAATTTGAAAAACTGTCCTTCACTTAGATTACTATAGGGCCACAGTGCCAGTATTACACAACTGTGTTGCCCTCATTGACATGAGACTCCTTGCTATTATAGCTTTCAGTCATTATAGAAGCATGGCTCAGTTTGATAAAAGAGAAATAATAAACAACTGCCAGGAAACAACATAATAAACATTTTAATTAAATCTATGTGTTTCATTTGGAAATGCCTTTTCTCCTTCTAATGGTGAAATCTGTGGTTAGAGGTAATTTAGGACACTGTCTGGCAATAAAGCATCATTACATGTGACTAATGACTAATTTACAACAAAGTAGGGAGCAATACTGATTAATAGGTGTGTTCTCACATGGAAAGTCCCCTGTGTTAGTTTTCCTCACCTTGATACAGAGAAATGATACTAATGAGAAAGCACTGGCTTTTCATTGGATAGCCAGAACTGTTTTTGTCAAATGGGCGATCATGAAAGTCCCTTAGCTTATATTTGTTTGGATTTTCTATCAAATTTTTCACATTCAATTGTTAGTCTTAGCTGTACTTAGCTGTACTTTGTGTGTACTCAGCTGTGTTTTGAGCTTTAACACATGCTGGTAACAACATGGAAAATTTTGCCTGTTCATGTAACTATTAACACTGCAGATCCAACTGTTTTATTAAATAAGAAGCAAGATTTCTCAGTAAGCTACCAGAGGGATGATTACTAAAACATAATGCACCAAAAATTAGGTAATATTTGGTAACTATGATGTGTTTTCCTCTCATCTTTATTTCATTAAAGAAATGCAAAACTAATGTATTTTAAAATGGGCAGTTGTTATTTAGTATGTATAATTATCAAATAACCTTGATGAATATGAAATTGAGAGTTCAGCTGCAGCATTGAATGAAAAATTTTCAGGTGCTTGTTTTATGCACAACAGTTGGTCTCACTTACCTTTCACACACCATCAACCCTGTTGTGTTATATAATTGGTTGCTTTAACCAGTGCAGTGAAAAGGACTGCCCAGGGCAAATTGTATTTTTCCTATTGCCTTCTCTCACTCCACCAAGTTTTGTTAACAATACCCTTCATCCCGGGCCTACTGCAAGCAAGATAAATAGATCACTGTGTTAGTGTGTGTAAAACATAGTTTATTCTGGCGACTGACAAAAATTGCCTTTATTTTCAGAAGATTTAGGATGCCATGTTTTGTGTCATGTGACTTTTCAGAAGATTGGCATGTTCCACTGGCCAAGTCCATGAGGCTGCTTTGTTAAGTCAGTCTTCATCAGTTACTCATGGGGGCACTGGTCCTTTACCAATCAGAACTATTTAGGCGCAAAGGGTAGCCACAGTACAGCGCCTGAAAACCAACTCTTGTTATGAGGCCAGTGCTTTAGTCAAGGGCAATGGATTGGCACATTGGGGTGGGAAACAAGCTGAGCTAACATGAGGAGAACTAGCAGCACTACCGGTTTGTTGTCATGGTCGTGATTGATGATTTACCTGTCAATCACTTTGGTATTTAATTGATAAAATTACCAACACAGCAAAAGTGACAACTATTTGGGGGGATTGGGGTAGAAACAACTTTGAATCATGTGATGCCAGAAAGCAAGACAGTTAAAAAAAAAAACCTTTAGCTTTTCTTTGGGAGTCCAACCAAGTGATAATTTGTGTTTGTGATCATTCTTATTACTTATTACTATGAGAAACCCCATTTCCACCACTTTGATCCATATTGTTATAAAATATTGATTTAAATAGTCATTACAACAGCTAATTGAGTAAATTTAATTGTCACTTACACCCCTGTAAAACTGTATTCAAACCCAAGATATATCTGTAAAAGTCTTTCTCATCACATCTGACAGACATAATGCACCGGGACTTGAAACTTGAGAACATTCTTGTGAAAAAATCTCCAGATGTTGATGATAATGACAGGATTAATATCAAGGTAAGATCGTGTCTCACACAGTGAAACTTTCCATCAGTGTGTCTTATCCATTCTCTTTTAGACAGAGCACAAGACTCTGATGGACACTTTTTCCTTGTATCTCCTCTATATTTAGTAAAGGCTTTAAATACTACCTCATTATGACAGACTCCCTCTGGTCTTCCTTCATATTATACCTTTACAAAGAAAGACTCTACTGTATCTTAAAACAAATTACCAGCTGAGCACAGCATGTTTTGTGCATTGACAACAAGCCAGCCAAAGCAGATACCTGGTGTGTGAGCTAAGACAAGACTAGGCCACAGTATAAACATCCCTGTCTCTTTCTGTTTTTCTCTTTGTCTCACACACATGCACAAACACTCACATACTGGTCATTCTGTAAAAAAAGAGTTGCCATGGCACAGCATAAATTACTCTATCACAGTAGTTAGTCCTCTCTTCTGGATGTTCTTGCTTTTGCAATGATGTGATACCCCTTTGCAAATACGTTCACCTGCACAGCTTTAACACCTATATAGCTATTCACATGAAAAGTCAAGGGTCATTGTTTGTTCTCAAGCAGTGTTTTCCTGACAAAAAGAATTTAGTACAGGTTCTGTGGGAACATCTAAATCATGTTTATTTGTATCACCTTTTTCTTAAGTGCTATTTTCTGCCTAGGTGACGGATTTTGGATTATCGGCGAAGACAGGTGTAGGGATTGAGAACATAATGAAGGAGGCCTGCGGGACTCTTGGCTATATGGGTATGACACCTGTATTTCCTACTGCATGCTAGAAGGCCTAACAGATGACCACAGGGATAGAGCTCTAACTGCCACAGTATCTGTTTGATTCTACCATGGGGGGTTGCTAAAGTGAGACATTTAAAATCCTACACATAGTGGTTTTAAGTTCATACACAGTGAGTGTAATTTTGTTTTTTTTTATGGGGAATGTACCAGGTATATTTTATATCTGTACTTATTATTGTGTATTTAGATGTACTGTGTGTGTATCTCTCTCTCTCGTTCTCTCTCTCTCTCGCTCTCTCTCTCTCAAAAAAAAAAGTAGCAATGTGCAGGGAAAGGTGGGGAAAACAAATACTGCTAGCTGGTGTTAACATGGATATAGAAAATGAATATTTGATACATTCAACACATTTGCGAGGCCTCAAAGATTCATACAATGGGTTTTGTTGAGAAACACTACATCTTAAAATTTTTACTTTGGGAATTTAATGCTGAAAAGTTGATGCATTACCTCTATCACACAGTATGCGACTTGCAAAACATCCTTCAAATTTTTGTTAAAACTGCATTGTTTTAGCTTGCAGTCTTCATCTTCTCCTCCTCCACTTTTATTTGCGCATTGTTATCTGTTATGGCTCATTTCTGCCACCAACTGTGGACATGCATTACCACCCTGTTTATCACATAGCTCCTGTGCTTGTGTGTGAGTGCATCCTTGTGAATGTGCTAATAAAGCACGATACAAACAAAATGGGATATACTTACTGAAACACTGATCAGCATCCCCAGTTGTGGTCAAAAACCAGTTTTAACTAGTAGTTTTAAGCCTCGACATTTCCATACGTCAGATAAAGAAAGCCTCACGTTTTGTATATGTGTGTGAATTTCAGCACCTGAAATGATGAGCGGCCGTGGTTACAGCCTGTGGTGTGATGTGTGGAGCATAGGAGTCGTTATGTATATGTTGTAAGTAGACACACACATCATATATATATATATATATATATAATATATATGTATATATACATATACATACATACTGTGAGTACATGTGTCTGAGCTGTGTGTCCCTGTAGGCTGTGTGGGGAGCCTCCGTTTGTGTCGAGAAAAAAGGCAAACCTACTTGATGAGATTATGAAAAAAGAAGTCACATTTATTCAACCCATCTGGGCCACAGTCAGTGATGCAGGTGACACCTAGTCTCCATTCTCATTCTTAAATAAATGTAATGCATACATGCAGTTTTACTGTTCAGATTGTTACTAACAAACTCACTGATTGGTTTGAGTCTGTCTCAACAGCAAAAAACATATTGACTTGCCTCCTGAAGACGGACCCAGCCTACCGCATGTCCGCTAATCAGCTACTAGAGAACCCATGGATTACAGTAAGGCGCTGATTCTCCCCACTGCATTCATAAACTTTACCAAATGAGTCACATGAGGAACTCTTATGGGGTGCTTTGTTCAACAGGGTGACACTAATGTGCCTGTTATACAGTCCAATGCGCTGGATCTGATGCGCAACCAACGGGAAGAGGAGAGTAAGACAATGATGAAGATTTATCTCACATCAAATAACTTAATCCAGATCACGATTTGATAATATACTGTATGACAAGGTGTTCTGATATATGTAAATAAGGGATGAACTGGAGGCAAAAACAGCACTGCAAGTTAACTGAAAATGTAGCATGAAGTGTTAGTATTGTTGCTATGATTGCCTGTAGTTTTATATTATTATTATTATTATTAGATTACTTCTTAACTGCTCAACTGCTAAAATACTATAATTGAGGTGTCCTGATGTATAATTTCAACAGATGCCAACCAGCCAGTCAGAAACATTTTCTTTCACACAGTGCACAGTACTATTGGATATGCCAGTGATACCAAATAAGGTCAAATTAGTAAAAACCTGCACAGAAACTGGTTGTTACATGTAAATATATGGCATTTGATTATCATACAGTGGAGCAGAGGAGGGATGGAGGGAGAGAGTGGTAAACCAAAGCCACATGAGGTTATTTGATGTTGATGTTATTTAAAATTGTCCACAATAGGAACAAACACTCTGGAGGACCTGTCCCTCGCCTTCTCTAAGGACACCCTGAACCTATCCCTGGTCCCTGGGGCAGCTTTACCAGAAATAGACAGTAACTGCGGGAACCCTGTTAAACTCAGCCCTGAAAAAGACAGCAGCTTCTGCAGACCCTCCACATCCACCAAGCGGGTACTGTATCTCTGTTTAGCACAACTCTACAACATTTTGACCTCAACTGCCTTCTTACGTAGGGCTCCAAATTTATATGGCTCCCAAAATATTGAATAGATGTAAAGTCTCTACTTATTTATATAAGTACTGTATGTAGTTAATGTTCTGTCCATTACATCTGTTCACACATCACTTACTTCATGTTGTAGTTATCTTGTTTTTAACTAGGACTTTCCAATTAAGTAGATAACTTGGCACTTGTAGCAAAACTGTTTTTACAAAGTTGTTGAAGTTTCCGGCCATTATTAATAATGTTTTAGTCACCTACTTATTGAGTTCACATGGGCAAGCAACATGAGTGGTTGTGACTAAACCATAATACTGTAATCATATCATAGGAGAATGTTAAGGTTGTTACCCAACTATCTATTAGATTTTGCTAGGGCACTTTATGATTAGACTCACAAACGTGCACATGGTTTTACATTGCAATTAATGGCAGTTCTAACAAATATTTTGGGTGTGCTCATGCTGCGTTCTTGAATGTTACCGTATTTATCTGATTTGTAAATATCATTCATGTCAATATCCATGTGGTAATTATGATTGTGGATCTGAACAAAAAAGTAAAGTACCACCCTATAGGTCAGACCTTATCTATTATTTATGGTCATGGAATCCAGGTACAGATCGCTCATGTTTCCCTTTGGGTTCCTCTTGTATCTTGGAATAAAGATTAAAAACAGTGGGGGCAGCCTCCAGCATGACAAGCGCAGAAATGGCACTGAAATCTCAGGACCACCTCAACCTACCACCATGCAGGTTTGTTTAACCTTCTCCAACTTGGCCCATTTAGTTCAATTTCAGTTTATTCTGTAATTTATAGGTTTTTGTTATTTTTGCAGTAGCACTTGACCAACCCTGAATTTTTTAATTTATCTGTTAATTATACAAATATCTACAGCTGCATTTTAAGCACAAACTTTCTTACCAAACAACCGTTGTGCTTTCACATTGCCATGCATACTGCTTTTTAAATTCAACCACCACTAGATGGTGCCAGATTTACCTATTAAAGAGGATGGTAATAAAGGTGTAGCCATGCAGCTGTTTTTTTTTTTTTACATGAATGTGCTAGTTAATTCTGTCATGTAAGTTGAATATGAATCTTATTCCTGCAGTCTCATGCCGGTGTGAAAGCCACCACACAGCTGAGTGCAAAGCAGCACAGGCCTCAGGAGAAGAAGGACCTCAGTACTGGACAGAAACCAGTCCCTGACCTTAGTAAGGCAGACAACCAGAGAGTAAGGACTGGGCCCCGCAAACCACCAGCTGGCTCTAAGACTAATAACCATTCAGAATAAAACTAAGAGAATTGAGCCACATCACAAGATTAGGAGTGAGAGAGAATACAAGTGAGTGGGCGAAAGAGAGTGAGCATACAAGGAAGAAACACTACACTAGAAGTGGACTTCATTTGATATACACTATGCTTAGTGTAATTCTGGTTATTTTATGTAATTCTGTGATTTAGCAACAAAATGTGAATGTAACTACTGTGAATGGTGCAACCTTTATGGTGATGACCAAAACGAAGCAGTGATAGCAGTGTCAAATGAAAGGGCCTCATATGCAGGTGTGAAAATAGTACAAGAAGTCCAAGCAGCTGAGTGTCCAGCCTCAGCAGGGTCTTGTGCCAAAGGAAAGGCTCCTGGTCTGAGGTGTTCTCCTGGACGGGGCAACAAATGCTTATTGTTACACAGCCAACCGTTTGAGCCAAATACAGACTCACACTTTTTATAGTGGCCAGTACACACAGAGATTGAATGAGTTTGTCAGATATTACTGGTGGCATCTGATGGAAGGTTTTTATTATAAAGCAGCGACCTAGAGTAAGTCGAATAAAAAGAGCCACCCAGGAGATTTGAGAACAGCACAGCTCATTCCTTAATAAAACTATTATTTAGTAATTTACTTACTGCTAGACGCATATCTTCTCATTATTAATGTTATCTCTTTATTTGAACACTTGGTGAATGTATGCCTTTTCCATATAGGAAGTAATAGTCACTTGAAAATGATTTAATTTGTAAAGAAGTGAATGTTAATTTATTACACTGGGGGAAAATAATCATTAGCTTGGGGTCAGAGATGTATTAATATGGTCAGTATATTTTCTTCAACAAATGTACAAATGAATTCCCTTAAAATGAGCATTTGTTAGAAATGTGTGATCACAACTCGAAGCTGCTTTTAAATCAGTCATTTTTTTGTAAGACGTGCCAAATATCGTAAAACACAGAACTGTTTGCATATTCATATTCAATAAAATGACAAAATATTTTGTTATTGTTTTATAATTACATGCTAAATTACAGAGAATACTCATGAAGAGTACAGGAGATTGTACTGCTTATCGTTTCACAACACCAAAGTGAGCAATAGGGATTTTCTTTTTTCTGGTCTGACCTCTCAATTCCAAAAATGCCCTATATGCAGTGACTGCACCCACTCAGTGTCAAAACAGAAAAACTGTCACACAGGCTGGTTACGCTCCATCTGAATGCAGAGGATTGGGACTGAGGGCAGCCACGGGTCTAATCTCATTTGGAGGCCATTGAAAGCAGTAGGAGCTACTTTGAGGGCACTGCCATTCAAACACAGGTTTTTTCCGCTGTAGAGAGAATAATCCCCAGCATAGATACAACATTAAAGTAGCCAAGCATAACACACAGAGGCTGAATTTCAAATTCACCCATTTGCATCTTGAAGTGAATGAGTGCCAACAATGGGGCCCTGTGTTCATACACAGGCTCTGTGTTTTAGTGCGTATGTGTAAATGTAGGGTGTGTTTATTGGAGCTGTTTTCAAAAGGTATTTCTGCATTTCAAAGAAGAGTCTTAAAAGTGTGGACACAGTATTTATTACATTCTGTCCAGGTAAATATACTAGTCTTAGGAGATGTTTCTTAACATCATGAATAGAGATGCAAAACAGTTTCATTGTCCTTTATTAGATTTGATTTTAAACAGTTTGTGAGAATGGACAAATGACATATGAATTATCTTTGATTCAAGCTGCTTGCCAAAAAGACTGCAACATTACTGCAACATTATTGACTTACTGTATGCCTTCAGTTTATTCAGACTGGTATAAACAGCAGATGGAGCTGTAGTAAGTCGCTGAATTCATTTCCTGCAGTTAATCTGACAGGAGAGTGCTATCCTTAAAGCTTCCTACCTAGTTTTTGTGCATGAAGATGTGTAATTAGAATTGATTGCTTGAGTCACTGCCCATTAAAACTGCAATGTCCATGTAATGTGTCACTAATTAATATGTTGAATGGTTATGCCTTGATGGTCAACTCAAACAAAATAAATGGTGAAGACATGCTTCATTTTGGGGGTCTGTCTTATTCACAAAATGTGATTTTGTTGGTAGTTAATTTGAGACACAAAATTTACACAACAATCATCATCTATATAGTTAAACCTCTTTTCCCTTTAGATTACCTCACTTGATTTGCATAAAGTCTGTTCAGATAACCTTATGTATGGCTAATTTTTGTCAGAAGAAGAGATGGGATTTCAGCATATGGTCCTCATTGTCTTGCGCTACACTTTTAATTAATTATGGGGAAACAAAAAAAAAATATTCAAATTGATTTGTGCAAGCAGAATATGACCTACAGCAAATTATAGGAGTGCTTGTACATGCCTCAGGGTAGAACAAATTCAAAGAGAGTGAAACACATCAAGAAAATATGGAAGAATCGGTTTCTTCATATATGATGACAGTGGGCTCAGATGCTGTTAAAATACTGTCAGTTCCTATTGCTGGAAGAAAATGGGAGCCTCCAGTTTTACTTTTACTCCTTTGGCCAAAACAACAGAGAAAAGAGGTGGGAGGGGAGGGGGACAGAACGAAAGAGGCTGGTGGATAGGTTAGGGGCGTGAATTTGGGACAAAGCATGGAGGCAAAGGAAATTAGAAAATTCGCCGGGATGGAACAAGCGATGCGCCCCCTGCACCCCCCAAAACCATCCCCCCTTTTCCTCCAGCAGTTCTCCTGACAGATGGAAGTAAGGGTGGGTGGGTTGACGGGCTGGAGGGATTAAAACTCTGCAGTCCCATTTTGGAGCCTGAAGAGAGTGTCACTCCTGCAAAGGTGGGGTGCAGAGAGGCACTTGTGGCGAGAGTCACGGGGCGTGTGAAGAGGGTGCACGCGGGCTAATGTCAAAAGAGGCAAGGATGCTTCCCGTCCCTCGGCCCCCCTCTGCTCTATCCACCTTTATCCACTGAGGAGCGTGGAGGGGGCTGCTAAGAGGGGGTAGAGCCCGGCGGGCCAGCGGGCGCGCGGTCCCTTGCTCGCAATCAACCTTAATAGAAGCTACCCTTTAACTTAAGCAGCCCCTCATGCGTGCCACAGAGCGCCCAATACCTAGCAGCTGAACCCCCCCCCCACTTCCCTCCATCCTCACCCCAAACACAACATCCTCACACGCGCTCCTGCTCAGGCACACTCTCGCTCAGGCGCCCCCCCGAAACCAACCCGACCCTAACTGCACCCCACAGCGACCACCCCACGGCCCGGCCTAAAAAAACAGACTCTACAATGTCATGCGAAAATAGCTTAGCCCGAACGGTTATCTGTAGCGAAAGAGCTCACTCGACACATGCTCCCAGACACGCTTGCTCCCTGCATCCAACTTCAGTGTTTGTAGTTGGCGCCCAGCTAACCTCCCATAGCCGCTTACCACCGCGATGCCGCCCATGCCTGCATCCGCATCCTGTTAGTCAAGAGTTGTGCATCCTGCTCTGATTCATGTACAATAAAGGAGTCATTCGAGTCATGGTAAATTCTTGAAAAATTAGGCCAAAACAGCACAAACACTATAGCTCGCTTTGTCCAGAATCCTTCCTTGGCATAATCTAGCATATACTGATGACTTTATAGGTTAGATCTTTAATTGTTTCCGCGCTATATAATACGTCATGTTTTATTTGTGTTATGGGAAAGCACCGTGATGCAAAACCTGTTAAAGCGCCGGGATAATCCGTTGGAAATAGGAGAGATCAGGTAAACGTGAGAAACAAGAGAAGTAGCTGAAAGAGCGACAAAACACCTGCTTCGGAGAAGCGTGGTAAGTCGTACGTAGCGTGGGTGATGTCGGCGAATGGCTGAAAACACGTTGTGAGACGGTGCGGAGCACGACAGAGAGAGGGGCCTTGAGCGTGCATCTCCCCAAGGGCAAGTGTCGTAATAAGCTGGTTGGCAAAGCGTTGTGTTCCATGCTACTGCCCTGGTCCGTAGGAACTGCAGGGCGACAGCACAAGCGAGCGGCCCGCCGGACCCCCCCACCACACCACCCCCAAACGGCCAAGAAAACACA